CGATCATCCCCCTTGCGCAGAGTGAGCGTCCTCCACCCCGCACAACATGATCTACTCGACCACCATTATGGTTACCGCCAAAAAAAAAACAAGTGGTGAAAAAAAAAGCGGTAACCTGGTTGCCGAGCTCACGAAGTGAATTGGCTTGTTTTACAACGTCGTTGCCAAGCGACGAAAACCCAACCCCGATGGCAAACACCGAGGGGGGTCGCCGCACGGGGGAGGATGGAGGTTGATACGAGTGAGACTGACGCTGGTGGGAAAGACCTGGTGTATCGGGAAAGCGGAGGGCTTGTTGTGGCTTAGAGTTGTAATGTTTGTGTTTTGGACTGGGGGCGTTCACAGGTGCAATTGGTTGGAGTTCATCAGAGCATCCACATTTCTGCAGCTTTTTCGCGTACGTCGTGCCCGCTCCGCCTTGTCTCTGTGGAAAGCCAGCGATCGGCTGAATCTACGCTCTAGCACCTTTCTTCATCGGACGTTTTCACGCTTACCCGCACGGACGGCTTGCCGGCGAAAGGCAGCCTCCTTCAGGGGAGCCAAGAACTTCGTCAGAATCATGACGGTTGGCCGGACGAGCCTCCCCCAAAGACATGCGAAGGGCAAGGTCCCACACACGGTCACGTCCGGACGCGACACAATCTCCCGCGAAAATGTAGTTGTCTTTCGTCGGCGTTACAATTTCACGGTGAACGCTTCTCCTGTCCCCTGCTAATGCGGACGCCAGCCACGCGTATCTAACCTGCATTGCAATCAGTTTTACGATTCCAAAAAACTGCATACACAAAAGGATAAGACTTGTCGCGTCCGTGCACCACTTGCTTCGAAACATCGCGCAAGAAAGTCACCTGGTTCGCAGAAACACTGCCCTCCGGACAGTACCACCCTCCCGCGCACTCCCCTTGGCACTGCGGCCGAATTTCTCTAGCGCTTGCGCCGAAGCGGCCACCCGGGCACGGAAATCGAACACCGCCGACGCAGAAGTGTCCCGGCTCACACTATAGAAGGTGTCGAGCGCGAGGCGAAGCCAACAGGCGGCGAAAATGGAGTTCTTGCCTTAAAGTTGTTGCAACTACAGGACGGTCGTCTATCGCACTAACGGTGCCCCTCGGTTCGAGACAGATTGAACTGAAAAGGCATCGCTACCGCCGTAGTCTCCTAGTGGAACTACTAAACACTGTCAAAGATTCCCTTCGGCTCCCATGCCTCTCGTGGCAACGATGCGATGTAACGTCGCTACTGCTCCAACTGTACTTAACAGGTGTTCTTCCCGTGCACTTCGCGATTGGTACGCAAACCGACAACCGTCTGTCACCTCTGCCTGAGAGTATCGCGTGAACGTCGACTCCACCAGGCCAACCTCCGCCGACGGGCGGAAGCTTGCCGTGACGTTCTGACACGCGGAAGTCGTGGTGTTGAAGTAGAGCATGATCGCGCTCACGTCCCCCCCCGCCATCCGTCGACACACGCAGCTGTGGGGCGAAAACGGGGGGTGGGGGAAGAGGTCGGGCGAACGAGTGGGTGACACCATGGAGCGTTACGTTGCTGGTACTACGGGACGCGCCCTCTCGAGAAGAAGGAGGCAACGACGGCCGAACGGGACACAGATAACGCAAAGGGTTCCAATTTGGTCTTGCATCTTCGCATTGCCGAGGTAAATTGCTTCTCCGTAGTGTTCTAATGTTGGCCGGGCGTCAACTCAATGTGAACGCGAGACTATGCCGAAAAGTCTACGCTTCCCCACAAGCCAATGGCCTAGCACCTTGTCCGCGCCTCGATGCTCTCCGCCGTGAGCTCGTCGCACGGCAGGCAGAGGGCCAGGCTGTCTCCGGTGACGGCCTTGAATGTCCCCTCCGGGCAGAGCTGACACGACGGCAAAGGAATCGCCGTGGTAATTGCGGATTCTTCACCTTTTGTCTGGTCTGCTCATATTCATTGTCACCACCGCGTCCAGAGAACGAGGGGGGGAGGGACGGGGTGAGGAGAGGGCGTCTACGACTCAGGCTCGCTAATTTGTTCGCCTACTTGTTTGACTGGTTCTTGTTCCTTTGTCTAGCTGTCCTACTCCCCTTGCCCGTAAGCACGCGGCCAACGGCCCGATCCGGATGGTGGCGTCGATTACGTAATTCCCCGCCGCTCTTCAAAATCGTTTTCTTCAGAAACACTATATAAATTGGAACAGTGGTACTTCAACGCTGAGAACTCGGCCAACCTCCCCCCACGTCCCATTCGGCGGAACAAATCAAGATCCCCCAGCATTCCAAGCCGTCTTATTTTCTCGCCTGTGTCGAAAGGGTAAGAGCCGTTCCTGAACATCCCCGGCGGGCAAGCCTCCTCGTCCGGAACGGTGGCGTAGTCCGTCGTGTAGTACCTGCGACATGCGGTTTCTAGCACAGTTTGGTGGAGATACCCACATGGGCTGTTGAGAGAGAGTACTCCCAGGACCACAAACCACCTACGGTACTAACAAGCACTTGGCACGCACTCCATCGTGGCTTCGCGTCATTGTAGCCGAGGGCTTGGTTGCGTGCACACGATTTACTTATGCAAGGTAACTGCCGCAAAGATATCTACAGTAGGCTGGCATTGCACGTGCACGGTCACACGTACGCATGCACACCCCGCCAAACCCGCTGCTTCCGAAGTAGAACCCTTCGAATTCTAAGTATGGTTTGGTCAGAGAGAGGATGGCAAAGAGGCAGAGACACAGAGAGACGCAGAGTGTGTGGAGGCAAACCACAATAATACGATGAGAGACAACAGCGTCGTCGTCCCCCTTACCCGCTGTCGACCATGATCGGCCAACCGGACCCAGCGGGGCACATCTGAGACGGGCCTCCGCACGCCCGCTCCCTCGAGCTCACACTCCCGGGCTCACAGTAGAAACCCATGGAGCAAGGCCCCGAACAAAGAGGGGACGACAGCCCGTGTGAAGCGCCGAAAACGCCGGCGGGGCAGGTGTACAGAATTCCTTGGTCGGCATAGCTGCCTGGAGGTGACAGCTCCTGCCCGGAGAGTGTTGAGTTCGGCGTTCGGCGTTCGGGAAAGGGCGGTCGCCGGAGCGTAAATCAGTCTGTTCGTTGTGGGTAGGGGGGGGGGTCTAAAGTTTTCCGGAGATCTGGCGCTGACGTCATGGTCGCAGTAGCTGTGGTAGCTGTTCATGTGGCAAAATTGTGCATAGTAGAAGTAGAAGCGGAATAGTTTTGATGGTGGTGGAAGTAGAAACAACCCCCGCAAACCATGTTCGGACGGAAGACAGGTAGAGGAGGGCCTAAACACAGAGTACGTACTACCAAAGGTTCTGGGCAAGGTTGCACGACCGTGTGCCCCGCCAAGCTTGAAAGAAAACACTGCATCCCAGACGAGTCCCGTTTCGAGGTTGGCGTTACGGTGCTAGAATTGCGTGTGGCCAACAGCGTGAAGGAGGCCCACATAACGGGAAGAGGCCGACGAAAAACAAACGGAGTCAAATGGACGTACTGCACCGTAAAAATGCGGGTGATCGCCCCCCTCCCCTAGACCAACTACCACAGCTCCACTGCTTCACAACCAAGAGGATGCCAAAACCGAAAGAGATAGCTTTGGAACAATCACGTCGAGCACTTTGCATGCGGCCATCGGTTGGTTTTAGTGCCCTCGTTTGGTTGTGCAGCGCATGGTACTTTCAGCATCAAGCGGCGTGGTGCGATCGGTCGCCCTCCTACGGCATTCAACGAATTGCTGTAGACCTGGCCGGTCCTGGTCGTGGGCCCACTCCCGCCGACAGAGTAGTATCCCACGGAGACCTTCACAGGCTCCGAATTCGCCCAGGGGCAGTACACGCTCGAGTCCTGGGAGACAAACGGGTACACAACGATAATTCAACGTTACCACCCGGTCAGGAGAACACTCTCCGATTCGAGAGCGCAGGAGAATGCAATAGTTCGTGTTCATATTGACGAAATCAAATCCTCTCGAAGGCAAATTCTTGCGAAATCCCGGAAACATCACAGGGCCGTCAGCTGCACCGCCTTCCTGCTTTCGGGACCTCCGGGGTGGTGTCGAGGCGATTGGCGCCCGCAACGCTTACTGCACTAGGCTTCACCGCTCACCCCGCAAGGGTTTTCCTCGGGGGAGACGCTGCCGTTTCGGCAAACGAACCCCGCCTCGCAGAAGCCGGAGCAGCTTCCCTGTGTTGCGCCGAAGTCACTCCCGTAGGTACCCGCCTCGCAGGGATATCGAAAACCCGCCTCGCACCAAAACCCCGGCTCGCAGAGTCTCTCCGCGGAGCGGGTCGAGGTAAGGGACGGGTCGGCCTCGACTTGTTCTGCCGTCGTTTCGTTGTTTCCTGCGACAGCTATGGTGTCCGCTGTTGTGGTGATGACGGCCTCCATCAGGAGAGTTGCATCTCCTCCGACGGTGTAGTGGCCTTCATTTACCTGTGATACGGTGAGGAGAGGACGGCCATCGTGTGTTCCCACGGGCGTGATGTTCGCTCCCTCTCGCAGATGAGAGAAAACACTTTCGGCCCCGGATCAACTTGTTAGTTGTTAAGAGTCACGGTCGTTCACGGCAGATGCAAGACATCCGAACCAGCGCTTTCGGCATTAGGGCTCACGAACACTGAAGACAACGAAAAGGCGCTCAGGAGCTCGAACGATGGACACCTAGCGGAATCGATTACTGAATATTGTAGTCATGACTGCTTAATGTCGTCGATGATGGATTTGGGTGCATTGTCTGAAACGCACGCCTGTTTTCGCGCCTATCGAACTGCTAAATACGAGGTGCTTCAGTTGAAGCGCATTGTTTTCCTCGAATTGCTGCCTACCGCACCACCGACCATGCGTAGGCGCTACCTTGCTGGCAGTAGAAGACCCTTCCGGACAGAACATGTCACCGTCACCGCCGCACACCGCCTCCGTTGGGCTCGTCGCCCCCGAACCGCAAACATACCCTATCGACGCATGTTCAGCAAGGTGATTATTATATGCAAGAGAGAGACAGACAGACAGACAGACAGACAGAGAGACAGAGGGAGACAAGAACTGATTGAAAAGATACTAACGGCTTGCCTGTCGCAACCACAAGGAAGCAACATTATGTGCCCGGGAGCGCAGTTCAGGCAATTGGGCAGTAGATGGGTCATCGTATGTTACCAGCGCACATTACAAGTAGCAGCTGTTTTCTTCGGCCTGGCTGCCCACGATCGTCATCCGAGAAGGACGATGCATTGGTTGCAAGAGTTCAAGCCCCTGCCTCTTCATACGCATGCTTGTTCATGAACAAGAGCGTTCTATCTATCTGCGATTGGTGGGAGGGTAATTAATTGTAAACATGAACATCATTTCAGCTCGACGATGAGCTCAGCGGAAAGGGTGAAGGTCATACACGGTGGGTGCGCAAGCTGCGCAGATTTCTATGCTCTGCAAGGACATCATGTCAACCATGTGCCGGTGCATGCGACGGAACGACTTGGCAGACTATGTCCTCTTCCGTCAAACACCCCCACGATCTGCTTCGTCGGAACAGCGAGCGGCTGAAGCACCTGCGGTACAAGGACCAGAGCAACTGGGAGTGGACAGGCCAGAGGAGCTGCCAAAGTTTCCCGGAGGACAAGGAAGTCGAACGCCGTCGACGCAGTAGTGCCCCGGCTCGCATTCCACCTGTGCGTTTTTCCGCCGCGGATCATGTCACGTCCCCACCACGGTGCGGATTCAGGCTACCGTAAGTTAGTTCTTGCTTGGATACGAGCGAGACTGTGATAGTGCGCATGACGACATCGAGCCAGACTCGTCGCCACTACTGATGCCTTTTAGTGCTTGGGTGTTTGTCACGACCTACCAAGCCCCAGCTATCATCCCCCCATCCTCTGAAAGTTCCGACGGACCAACAACCCTAATCGCAAGCGAACGAGATATTCTCCTCGGTGCACGTCGCCGAGCACATGGTCGATGGTGGATATTGTCATATCAACGCGTCTCGGACGTTACCCCAGCCCCACTCCCCGTCGTCCCTGTTCCCGATCACTGTCCCTCATCTACAAACCCAATGCAACACGCGGTTTTTCTGCCTGCGGGGAACCTACCTGCGTCGTTTGGGTCTCCGCGACGCCCAGCCACGGATGTCTATCGACGTCTCCTACGCCGCCTCGTACGGTGTAGAAACCCTCAGATGCCGTTGTAGGGGCCGAAGAACCCTCGGGGCAGAATAGGGAGGCGTTGCCACAGACATGCTTCGCGGTGATCAGAGAGCGAGACGCGACGTATCCCAAGCCAGAGTGGTCGTTTCGGCGGAGGGCGGGGGGGGTTGTACTCATAGTCGTGCATGCCGTAGTCGTTAGACCATTGACCTCGCATCCCTACAAAGCCGGGACGGAGCACGCCGGGTTTTCACCGGACCAGGCTCTCACATCACCAAGCGCGAAGCGCCGTGAGGTATTCGGCGAGTCGCATGAAGGGTGCGCTGCATCCTGCTACGGGTGTTCGGCATCTTGTGCTTACTTCCTTGCGTACGGATGACAGCTGCGTGTGACTTAATTTATTATCTGGTGCTTTCACTCCCAGAGACAGTTGTAAGCACTATGTAACTGCCTCGAGGGTGCTTGACCATTTTAACACAACGTGGTGCGATCATCCCCCTTGCGCGGAGTGAGGGTTCTCCACCCCGCACAACATGATCTACTCGACCACCATTATGGTTACCGCCAAAAAAAAAACAGAGGTGAAAACAAACTGGTAACCTGGTTGACGAGCTCACGAAGTGAATTGGCTCGTTTTACAACGTCGTTGCCAAGCGACGAAAACCCAATCCCGAAATGATTCACCGCTCGACCAACAAGACTTCGCAATACATGTATCTCTTGCTGGCCCCCGTGTATGCATCCGTAAACGTCGTTGGTCATGTAACCTCCTGCGACGTGAACGAGTGCCTGACCAGTTGCCAAATGGTACTTGTTTTGTTGTGTTGTAAACGAAAATCAACCTTATGGTGGCCCCAGCGCCAGGGTAATATCGGCGAAATGCGTGTTTTGGGCTGATGATGCCGTCGTGTGACCACGAGGGGCGGATATGCAGAGTGTTGATTCGAAGCGCTCCCACGAGCGGCCTCTTACGAGCCGGGCAGCACGCCGAGCACTTTTTCTTGCCTCACCTGGTCGGCTCGGTGACTCCCTTCGGGGCAGTAGTGGCCCGGGCGGCACGATCCCGTGCAGGAAGAGTTAACCAAGAGCTCGGACGCACCGAAGCGGCCGGCGGGGCACGGCCACGACACCCCTCCCACGCAGTAGCGTCCAACCGGGCAGCGAGACTGCGCGAACCGATCAACGAAGGCCAGGATGCAGGGGCAACGGCGGGGACAAGCAGGCCGAAAGCGAAGGCGACGTTGTGCAGGTTTTCTTTGTACATGTGGATGAGCCATGGATGCGGCGATGCGTCCATGACGGTGCTTTTGTTTGTAGCAGCCAAGCGCAAACTAAGCGCGCACAAAGTGGAGACATCCCTTGCCTTCTTCCCCTTGAGCTATCAAGAGAACCAGCTGTGGATCTCGGTGCAGGCCATCCATCAGAAGACACCAAGTGTCATCATCGCAGATTGGTAGATCCCCACGCACCCCTGCTAACCTCTGTCTATCCCCCACTCATCCCACCGAGCTCAGTGCTTCTGCCCCCCGGCATCCGAATGGTCTCGCACTGCATCGTATGAAACCCCGAAAAGAATAAACGTTATTGCCGTGCTACAGACCTGAAAGCTGAATCCTCCGGACGCCCCCGACAAATCGCTCCCGATCCCTCCGGCGAAGTAGCCACGATCGACCGGCAACGGTCTGCCTGAGCCTTCGGGGCAGTAGTGCTCTGGCCCTCCGCAGGCGAGCGCGAATGGATCGATTGCGCCCGGTGGGCAATACCACCCTGTCGCGTCGAGAACGCGCGAGAGGGGTTGTCGTCAGCTGCGCGTTTCGTGGGGGGGAGGGGGGAGGGGGCTGAACCCTTGGGTATTGCGGAAGATCACAGCCTTGACCTATAGCGTATCTGACTTGGATATTCCAAGGATAACGGTCGGTGACATATCCGTGCCACCACACGCAGGGTATCAAGAACGTGTTAACTGGTCAATGGAATGCTTCAAGGACTGCTTGGGACGTAACAACACGGTAGGGGTATTTCCACAACAGCAGACCAAGTGGGTCATGCGGTTGTTGGTACGGCTAACCAAGTCAAAGGGACGAAGAAAAAAAGGTACGCATACCGCAGCACACGCGTACAGGAGCAAATCATCGATCATACAAAGGACCCCTTCTTCGAGGCTTACCTGCCGGACACGGACCCGAGCACGCGTCGTCGTGCAACCCCTCTCGTTCGCCAAATGTCCCCGCTGGACACAGTTTTGCCAGCCCCTGCCGACAGTACCACCCTTTCGGGCAAACCGCTTGTTCGATCCTCCCCGAGGCGGACGTCCCTCCGGCTGCGTAGTTCCCGGGAGACACGACAATTGGCCTCGAGCTGCCGGCGGGGCAGTAAACGGAACTGTTTCCGCAGGGGGCCGGGCTGACGGCAAGGGGGCGAGGTGGGGCGGCACATTCGCAAAACTGATGTCGTCGGGAAGGGGGGTGAAGATTTTTCGTGGGGGAACAGAAACCAATATCAGGGCCCGTAGGACTGTGTATGGCCGCCGATGGCAGGGCATCAAGTCGTCAACGGATGCGAAACCTCAGTGTCATGCGAAGGACTACATACATGAATGGGACGTGTAGTGGGAAGAACAACGAAGATCGTGTGCCTGGCGTGCAACCTGCTAATAAATGGAAGTACGATCCCGGAAGGATATTGCATCACTTAGACTATGCGTTATTGTCTACAGCAGTACTCGATGTATATATAGACTGCATGTACCACCTTCTCGGTTCGGTTTGGCATGCCTCCCGCCTTGTCTCTCGTGCAGGATATTCCCCACAGCGACATTCTGTATCAACGCGTCAAAGCGGTTTTCGCCTCCTGGCGTGTTGTGTCCACGCAAAGTGATGTTTGCTTGCCATCCATCGGCGGGTGAGGTCTTCTTCCACCCCCCCGTCTCATTTGTATGTCGGCCGGTCTCGACGACGCTTTTGTGCAAGTCATCGGTTTCCAAAACTGTCCTCGCTACCTAGTCTACTGGTCGTATGCATCCCTCCTCTACAATTACTGAGTTCAGCTTCCCCTTTCAATCGCCGTCTGCTTTCTCGTGCTACTCCCCCTTCTCCTCATGTTCACACTACATAGACTATGTACATTATCCCTGTCGGAGCCATCTCCGTCGACTCGTTCCCACAAAGTAATCATGGGCAGTTTTTCATCGACGCATCTTCCCGTGTGCACAGACATCGGCCCCGCTGTGAGCCTTTCCAACCATTACCTGCCCACCGCTCTGCCACTTACTGCTTAGCCCTGATCCCTAGTTTACCCAGGTCTGCTTAACTTGATGTGTCGTCGACACTGCTGTCAATGATCTTGATCTGGGGAGTCTTGCAACAAGGGTAGCGGATCGATCATGTGCTCGTCGGTGACTGATGCTAGGCTACCCCCGTGCGTCGCATGCACACCATACATGCATCGTTTTACTGCTGTATTAGGCACACTACTTGATGTATTTCAGCCACAGCCTCTGTCAACGTGCGTTCGGAAGGACAGCAACTATCTAGACTACATGTAGAAATACAAACACATACCATGGTGCGCGAGGAATTTACCAGCGGAGGGAAATCCGGCCAATGACTACATTTGGGGGTGCGAACATTGGGTGTCAATGTGTGCATGCACACCCACGTGCTGTCGCACAGCATGCACCAATATTTTCAGTACAACAAATACAGTAACGGAAAACAAGAGTTTCCTGAGGGGTCGCCCAACCGTGGCGTATGTAGTGCATCCTGCTGCAGATGATGATGTACAATATCTGTCGGTCGAAATAATCTCCTACTGTAACACCCTCTGACCTGGAGCTCCCCTCTGGGCAAAAGGATCCCGCGGGGCAGAGGCCCGAGCACAAGAAGCTCGTCTCTTCCGTAGAAGAGCCGAACCTGCCGGGTGCGCAAGGCAACTTGACCCCGTTCGTGCAGAAGTGCCCTTGCTCACACGCGGCGGAGCTCTGTGTCAAGAACACAGCAGGCAGCACGAGGGACTGCTAGCATGTGGTTTCGTGTTGGCGACATCGACGGGAGCAATCACGCACATTATCCATTGCCAACGTATATCCTTCCAAGATCCCTGTCATCAGACCCGCGTACATTTCAGCCACTCCGTAGTACAGTAAGTACCGCCGCTCGATCGCGGCGGGTATATCTCACACGGCGGGCTGCACTCACCGTAAACATTGGTTGTGCGGCAGCAAGAAGTGGTGTAGTGGCCAGAGGCATCAGCAGGAGAGCCAGACGCAGCACGACTTCGCCACCAGTCGCCATGGTTGCGAGCGGTAAGGGTCGCGAGTTTCCATCCGTTATCCACGTGTGAGCAGACAGATACAACACGCAACGTTGGCGATGAGCGGTCTATAACTAGAAGCTGTGTAAAGCGACATAAATGATATGATAGCCTGTTCTTGCCGATGTCGGCCACCGAGGTCCTCTCTCCCCCCCCCCCCCCCCCCCCCCCCCCCCCCCCCCCCCCCCCCCCCC